AATATACAGCCCAAGAAGATAGGAATAATAATTAAGACCAATGACATCCAAGTAGCAAACGCTTAAGAAAAATCGCTAACACAAACCAAACAAATTTTAGAAATCAAACAAACACCAAACGAAACCTCCCCAGACCGCCCTCAGAAATAAATATCGCACCTCTCACCCACATACCGCGGAAGCAAATTCCCATCAGCACCCACAGCCAACTCGCAACTCACGTGCATCTTATGCTCATGCGTATCCCAAGTCTTCACCTTGAACCTTATAATCGACAAGAGCTCCAGCCTCAACTGAGCCTCACCTGTCGACTGGTTCCCGCTAATCTGACTCAGCACTGGCCCATTCCCTTTACCCGCCAGCTGTGCTTCAATATTCGTAGTTTTCTTCGGTTCCTGATAGAACGAATGCATGACCGTCCCTGCATGCAATAACTTGATCAAAATAGTATAATTAACGGCGCTCATGTCGCTTGTAGTCAGATACCAAATACTTTTTGGTTCTTCGGCGTTTCGGTCGCGAATGATGTTGAATGAAGCCGAACCCGTTTGGTTCAATGTGAATGAGTTGAGATAGAACCTGGGTCTATGAGGTCTGAGGCTGAGGTACAAAATGAAGAAGATTAGGCCAACGACAAAGACAAGAGAGAGGAAGAATGAGCAGATGAATCTTGCGAACCGGCTTGTTAGGCTCTCTTGGACCATTTGGGTGTAGCGACGGGTTCGGGTTCCACGGCGATGGGCTCGAGCTGGTTCGGGTTGAGGAGAGAAGTAATGGGTTTCCGTTTCGGATTGAGGAGGGAAGTTGGGTTGAGCAGGGTTGTGACGGGTTCGATCTGGTTGGGGTCGAGGAGGACGCGAGTCGAATATAAAAGACATGGTTGGTTGATTTTGAATTGATAGGTTTGTGGGGTTTTTTCAGGGGTGATGTTTCGGGATTTATATAGAAGTTGGAAGAGGTTTCTTATGTTTGATGCTTTTCTGCTTTTCGTTAGATTAACCCTTTGGTTGACTCCCACAGTCATCTCTCAGCTTTAGGGAAAGGAAAGCCCTAGACAACTCTCAAGAGTTCCAGGCATTCGACTTCTCAGTCGAATATCAAGACCTTGGCTCATTATCAAGGTAAGCCCAATGCACAAGATTTGGTCAAATCCTCTGGTACAACCCAACCATCATGGCTAGATTACAAGATCTTGGTACCTTATCAGGGATAAACCCAAAGCACAATTGCAGAGGCCTCGGCCCCACCGACTCATCAAGCCGACACTCTGGTGTCGACACAAGAGGCGATACTAGCCGGCACGAGAGATCCCGAATCCCAGACAAGGCGACATTCCAACCAGTCAAAACAAGCCGACACTCCTGAGTCGACACGAAAGGCGGTGCCGGTCGACCCTGTTATTAAGGACGACCCTATTTAGGGCAATCGACCGCTCACTGGACATTTCTCAGAAACAACTTAAGGGGCGTTCCCTGCTGTCGACTAAGTTGAGGACTCGACTCCGGTCTCAAGCCTCTCCCCTAGAGCAAATGTCGACATCTCAGTCCACCTCGAAAAAACCTTATCCAGATTTTGGCCTGATAAGTCTCCACAACTTGTCAGCTCAATCACTTCCCACAAAAAGCAGAGACATCCTCTCCAGAGCTGAAGTGACTTCTCCTCCAGTTGCCAACCGACACCTGTAAAGTGAGGGACGACTCAGAATGCCCACGTGCCTTCTACCACGCTACAAGTCACATCCCGGATATCGCGGAGACGCCATCTCCCATGCTGAAATGACTTCCCGTCCAGTCGCCAGTCGATACTTGTAAAGCGAGGGATGACTGACTTTCCAACTCACACTTTGTCACCATCATTCTGCATGGTTGAAATGACCAGTCTGCCATGGACACCCGCTCTATAGATGGAGGCTGTTGACCGCCAAAAAGGAAAATCTAACCTAATCTAAATCTTCTTCCTGATCTAATTTAAGAGATGATGATCTCTAATGCACATAGCATAAGAACACCTAGTTCTAAACTCCACTCAAGCTCATGTTTATCAACTGACTTGATCGTCGGAGGAATCACGGGGGAACCGGTCCCCGCCCTCTCACGAGTTTTTTCTATCTGTGCAGCGCGGACTTCAGACCCCTGTTCAAGAACCAGGCATAAAGCCGAAGAAGGGAGCGGACCCTCCATCATCCTTTATCACCCCGTAACAATCCTCTTCTGCATTAATAATATGTTTGATATCGAGCATCAACAGTTTGACGTTCATCGTGGGGCCACTCTTCTTTTTCGAGAAGACATGCCAAGTTCCGATTAAGGGTCTGATTTTAATCACCCCCGAAGAATAATATCGGAGTTGCATCATCCAAGCTAAATAAAGTCAGAAGTTGCATCATTCAAGCTAAGGAAGATTAGCCTATGGCTATGAGGAGCTAGCATAGGCATAGCCCTCAAGGGCCTTTAAAGCTTTTTGGGGAGCATTTGCCAAGCAGGCCATCCACCAGACGATGAGACCGCTACCAGAACCCCGAAAGCCCTCCTGGAGAAGACACACCACTATGGTGATTGTCTGGCTTGAACATGCAGCACAAGCTTCTTATCGTCGCCACAGACGAACTCCAGACAAACTCCATCTTCTGGACAACCAAAAAACCTGGAGTTGGATCACAAAGCCGAATCCTACCTCCTTTAAGGATTATGAGTAGATCCAATATCACTGAAGCTCCCACTGGCAGTAGCTCATATGAGCATAAGGAGCAGTGATTAAGTCTATGATAGGCGCCTAGGACCATGGAGATTCTTTACAGAAAACTCATATCGGACTGGGACGAGATTGTGGGAAAAACGCGAGGGCTTGTCAACTGATCTTCTCAAGAATATTAACAGCCTTGCGCTCCATGAACAAGCACCACCAAAGCGACCTTTGCTATGGTGGTTGATGCATGCGACCCGCAGGATTCCCATGAAGGAGAGTTATCCATTCACAGCATGGTCCAGTTCCTAATACTCTCGAAGCTCCTTCAAGAAAGCCGCAGCAATTTCTCATTTTCAGGGAGTATAATACCGGCTGGTGGATTCCCTCCCCAAGAGAGATTCCACCACAAAAGGTACCATGTAGTTTCTGGTTGTGCCCTCAACCCTCACATGGAAAACGCCATTCGACATAATTCATGGCATATGGGCAGTTCCCTTTACTAAAAGTCGGCATGCAAACCTTCCGCCTTCAAGGCCTTTTTGAAGATTCAGTCTCAGAAGGAACCTTGGCCGATGAGATGACAAATAGAATTTCGACTCATCTTCATCATGCCAACAAGTTGCCCACTATGAAAGCAAACAAAATCCAACTAAAAGAGGTTTTGTACTGGCGGCATCACCCACTACAAAATTGCCTTTGAAGCAGAGCTAAAGAAAGATAACAAGTGGTTCAAACCCCTTAAGGCATCAAATGTCAGCAAACGATATTTTTCTTGACAATGTACAATACAGAACTGATAAAATGTTATTCAATATGAATTAACTCTGATCTCGCAAGGATCAAGGCTTCCCTATGGCAAAGACCTAGGCGTCAAATAAGACCTAGGCACCCCAATCAAGCAATTGGCTCTTTATTAAGGTAAGCCCAAGCCTCAACAGATGATTGAATCCTCCAGTGCTACTCGGCCATCATGTCGAATATCAAGACATTGGTACCTCTTCAGGGTAAACCCAAGGCACAACGATTCCTCAGTCGAATATCAAGACATTGGCTCTTTATCAAGGTAAGTCCAAGGCACAACATATGGTCGATTCCTCCGGCTCTCATCGATCATCATTGACAAGCGCTTGGTACCTCATCAGGAATAAACCCAAGCCACAACCCTTCGGCCGACTCCCACAGTCATCTCTCGGCCTTAAGGGAAGGAAAGCCTAGTCAACTCTCAAGAGTTCTAGGCATTTGATTCTTCAGTAGAATATAAAGCCCTTGGCTATTTATCAAGATAAGCCCAAGGCACAATGACTCCTCAGTCGAATATCAAGATCTTGGCTCTTTATCAAGATAAGCCCAAGGCACAACAACTCTTTAGTCGAATATCAAGACCTTAGCTATTTATCAAGGTAAGCCTAAGGCACAACGACTCCTCAGTCGACTATCAAGCCCTTGGCTCTTTATCAAGATAAACCTAAGGCATAACGGCTCTTCAATTGAATATCAAGATCTTGGTACCTCTTCAGGATAAGCCTAAGGCACAACGACTCCTTAGTTGGATAATCAAGTCCTTGGCTCTTTATCAAGGTAAGCACAAGGCACAACATATGGTCTATTCCTCTGTCTCCAATCGATCATCATGGATAAGCCATTGGTACCTCATCAGGAATAAACTTAAACCACAACCCTTCGACCGACTCTGGCAGTCATCTCTCGGTCTTAGAGGAAGGAAAGCCCTAGTCAACTCTCAAGAGTTCTAGGCATTCGAATCTTCAGTCGAATATAAAGTCCTTGCCTCTTTATCAAGATAAGCCCAAGGCACAACGACTCCTCAGTCGAATATCAAGCCCTTGGTTTTTTTATCAAGATAAGCCCAAGGCGCAACGACTCTTCAGTCGAATATCAAGACATTGGCTCTTTATCAAGGTATACCCAAGGCACAACGACTCCTTAGTCGAATATCAAGACCTTAGCTCTTTATCAATATAAGCCCAAGGCATAACGATACTTCAGTCGAATATCAAGACATTAACTCTTTATTAAGATAAGCCTAAGGCACAATGACTTCTCAGTCGAATATCAAGACGTTGGCTCTTTATCAAGGTAAGCCCAAGGCACAACGACTCTTTAGTCGAATATCAAGACCTTAGTACCTCTTAAGGGTAAACCTGAGGCACAACGACTCCTCAGTCGAATATCAAGACCTTGGCTCTTTATCAAGGTAAACCTAATACACAACATATGGTCGATTCCTCCGGCTCTCATCGATTATCATAGACAAGCCCCTGGTACTTTATCGAGAATAAACCCAAGGCACAACCTTTCGACCGACTCCCGCAGTCATCTCTCGGCCTTAGGGGAAGGAAAACCCTAGTCAACTCTCAAGACTTCTAGGTATTCGACTCTTCAGTCGAATATCAAGACATTGGCTCTTTATCAAGGTAAGCCAAAGGCACAATAACTTCTCAGTCGAATATCAAGACCTTGGCTCTTTATCAAGGTAAGCCCAAGGCACAATAACTCTTCAGTCGAATATCAAGTCCTTGGTACCTCTTCAGGGTAAGCCCAAGGTACAACGACTCCTCAGTCGGATAATCAAGTTCTTAGCTCTTTATCAAGGTAAGCCCAAGGCACAACATATGGTCAATTCCTCCGGCTCTCATCGATCATCATGAACAAGCTCTTGGTACATGTAGGCTGTCTAAAAATCACTACAGATAGCAGATCCCTATCAAACACCGATGATGGGAGTTACAATCTGACGACTCTCACATATCAAAGAGCTAAAGCAAAGATTATAAAATGACGATCTTTATAATGCTTTGACAGAAAGAGATTACAAATCGACGGTCTCTTCAAATCAAGATGCGGAAGTCCTCCCCGCGTACCAGCATCAAGATGCACCGCGTTCACAGTCGCTGACACAGTGCAAACGCACCTCACATTCAACTCCAAACGCTGTAAACGCAGCTCAGGTCCAGCTGCCAACGCAGCTTATATTCGATCGCAAACGCAACATCCGAAAGCTGCCAACGCAGCTTCCAAATCGCTGCAAACGCAGCTTCCAATTGCTGCAAATGAGCTTCCAGACGCTGCCAACGCAGCTTCCAAATCGCTGCAAACGCAGCTTCCAATTGCTGCAAATGAGCTTCCAGACGCTGCAAACGTAGCTTCCAATTGCTTCAAATGAGCTTTCAGATGCTGCGTTCAAGCTTCCAGACACTGCG